TGTCAGGGGCAGGAAAATGGCCGCGGACCACGTGTCACGGGCGGGAAAATGGCCACGGACCATGTGTCATGGGCGGGAAAATGGCCGCGGATCCTGTTCGTGACCCGAGGCGGAGTTCGCGAACCGAAACAAAATTTTGTTTCGTCACCCGAAAAGTTCGTGAACAGAAGTGTTTGTAACCCGAGGTTCCACTGTATTTTGTTCTAATAGTACATGCATTACTGTGAACCACCTAAAGTAGTTTTTGAAGTCGGTAGATATATAACTGATGTAGAAAATAAGCCTCCCAAGTAAGACAGTGAACTAAGCTGAGACTTACTGTCTATACTTCCGTTCACTCTTCTCATGAACACATCCTGTAGTAGTTATATATTAAACATTTTTCAGAGAGATTAGAGATAGCACCTGGCATACCCTGGCTTGGCTGGGCTCAGAAGCTAAGCAGTGTTGGCTTGGTTAGGGCTTGGATGGGGTAGGCTAGACTAGGAAGGAAAAAAAAAATCTCAGAAGAAGACAGTGGTCTACCGCATGATATTGCTGTCATGGAGACTACATGGAAGGGGACTTCAAACTTGGCAACTTTAAGATGTGTGGATTTCAACTCCCAGAATTTCCCAGCCAGCAGTTGTCAAGTTTGAAAAACACAGGCTTATATGTTTCTGTGCTGAGTGAGCTTTCTATACTGAACTTACAAAGTAGTTGTATATGGTGTAACTGGCCCTCAGATTCTGATGTATTTTGAACTCAACATTTTCTTTGTCCAACAGCTTGCACTCTTGGTAAGGTCCACAGTTTTCCGAAATAATTCTATCGTTCTGTCTCATTTTACAGTAGGTAAGAACCAGGAGTCCCCCTTTCCAGGTTGAAATAAATGTTTACTACAGGATTTGCAGGAAGAGCTCAGATTTGCGGAACAACCATAAGTGAGGAAGGCTACAACGTTTTAACTGAGAGTTTTTCTTCGGTGAAAGTGTAAAAAAATGTGAGAGGCAAAATCCAATTATAATATTCAATCGTTATTTTCAGGAGCTGGTCCCAAACCCCCAGTTCATTGAGGGAGGAGCCACTCGTACAGATATTCGTCAGGGGGCTTTGGGTGAGTAGGGAAATGCCACTTTTTCTCTCTCTCTCAGGGGAGGGGGAACCGCAACACACTCTGAACCGCTGTGTGCTATAATCAGAGAACAAACATGCAAATTGTATTATTTTGTTTGATGATTCAAATACTGTAAATATAAAATAACAGTGTGAAATATGTTCTTTGAACACTGACTTTATCGCTCGTTTTGCAAGTGTCCCACTAACTAGCCACTGAAACAAAAGGAAATCCTTTCTCATCCTTACATTTCTGTAAAATATTCTTTCAAATTTAAGATACAGTATTTGATGTAGAGGAATACAGTCAGACTATCTCCAAGGCCTTCATTCATTAAACTTTATTTCTTCATCAGTAGGAAAAATTCGATTGAACTTAGCTTGGCAGGGTTTCAAGGGAGTTTGAGAAATGTAGAACATTTATACTTTTGTAAAGAGCACACATACAATAGATTATGACTGGCTGACATATACAGTGGTACCTCTAGTTACGAACTTAATCCGTTCCGTGACTCTGGTTGCAACTCGAGTTGCTCGCAACTCGAGGTAAATTTTCCCATAAGGTTCAATGTAAATACGGTTAAACCGTTCCGCCCTCCGAATTTGGTCGCACCACGAGGCAAAT